AAACACAACGAAAAACCTATGTTTTCAACACTGTTAATTAAATGTCTTGCACAAAGTCAAATCAAGTCTGCCTTTACGGGATGGCATAACTATTTGCATTTCTCATACGGTTTTCATTAGCTAACGCCTGAAATTTTATTAACACTTTGTCAAATTTTCTAGGCAAAATTCGCTTCATTTTTTGGTCCAGGGATCACTGCGGAAATAGGTAAAAGTTATTCAAACTGGTTTTCATAATCTACTTATTCACAAAATCTGAGTGCTAAGAATGCAATTGCCAGTGGATGGATTTTGATCCAGGGCTCGTAGGCTAATATCTATGTGTTTTTCAATGTAGTTGAGGGAGATAAAAACAAGTACGAGGTCAGGCTAATTTCCAACACTCCCTTGTAGACATTGGAGCCTTTGCTCTGCAGGAAACTGAATCTGAAGTGAGATTTATTTGTTTTTTTGTTAGCACACTGTATACGATAGTTACTTAGAAGTACATCACTAGAAGATAAGGCGTCATAACCTTTCTATTACATGCATTCTGCTCTCAAGTTTTATGTATGTTGCCCACCGAAAGTTGATGCAATGAAAAAATATTTTTATTTAATTTTTATTGAGTTAAAAAGAGATAGAGTAAACAATTTTGAGAATGGCGAACAGGCGTAAGGCGTTGTAAGTATATAATGCTTAGAGTGTGTATAGTATAATATACCTTACCCCTTTATATAGAGGTGTTAGATGTCCAAAAAAAATATATAATTTTCATTTTTTTATAAATATGTACACATTTCATGTTAAAATGTCATATTTTAAAAATAAGGTAAACAAAAATCTGTCATTTCACAATATAAACTAATATCTTTGTTCGAATGGTACGAGGAGTCAATCCGTTTAATTGTTAGGTTGCCTAATAACAAGACAACAGTCGTCTAGCTCGCCAACTAACCACAGCGCTCTGAAAGAAGAGCTTATGCAATAGTTATCTTAAAATATATATGTATTCATGCGACGGGGCACATTAAGGCTGAATTATTAATAACGTATGTTATGGAATAGGTTACTGAATATGTATGGTAGTTACATTATTGATTATTATTAAATGGTTGTGGTAATAGTTATGGAATATGTTACTGAATCTTATGTATAAATGTTCGTAGGAGGACTTTACTATCTTATTCCATAGATCACCAGATTTGATCTCAACATGAATTCATCCAAACACATAATAAACAGGATTACAATCCTTTTGGCAATAATCGCCATGCATCAATCTCAAGCACTCAAGAAATCGACATCGATCGACTCGTCAGCTTCATCACCATTCTCTTTCCATAGTGAAATCAAAAATCATTCAGTAAAGGGCAATCCAAAGATCACGAAGAAAATTACCGATCATGAGAAAAATTTATCCGAGAAGGAATGTGATTTTTTTACCTCGCCATCGATACCATACATCGAACACGAACCCGATAATGACTATATATTCCCACAAGGTTGTTATGGAAATTTTTCGGCGTCATTCATATATGATGTTGCTAATATATTATGCCATCAGGAGAATCCTATTGAGGAAATAAAAGCTCGTGACGAAGGTTGCAAAACATTTCGGGCTATCGGATTGGATTGTGTTGCTGATGTGTATAGTAAAGATGTGATAGAACGATATCACTGTAACAAAGACCCGTATCTTATTAAGTATAGGGCCGTTCATGTCTGGTATGATTGTGTGCCGCGGGTAGATTGAAATGTAGATAAAACTGATTCATCAAAGCGATAAACTTTTGGAATTTTTAATTTCATGTTAACTACCTATTTGATAAAAAGTTGAATCATATGTACCAATTAATAAAGCAACAGCAAGCAAAATCCATTATTATTTTTCAAATGCTAAATGAAAAAGATTTTCATAGTTAAATTTGCTGAATTATTCTTTAGTATATAATAGAAGGGATTGGTTCCAATGCATCCTATTATTTAAAGTGAGGACGTGAGATTCATTCCTAGCTACAAGATTTAGATCTTGATTTAAATATTAATTCTTTATTTTTAATTATTTAAATATTATTATGACCATTGACCGTTGACTCCGGCGTTGACCGTTGACTTCCAGCATTGACTTCCGGCGAAAATCGTTGACTTCTGGCGTTGACCATTTGACCATTTGTCTTTTGTTATGTTATTTCTTTCTTCCTAGGTTATTTCACAAACATTTAATATGTTATTATTATGCAACATTTTACAATTTACATATTAACCGTAGGTAAAAGAAAAAAGAAGGAAGTGTATTTTTACAACTTTTTTTCCTTTCCTCTCATGAGACTTGCCCCTGTAAATATGAATTGATCTCAACTTATATTTATATTGATGATTAATTACACCTTTAGATCAAAGCTTATTCAAGATTCTCCTCATGAACCCCAAGCTGATGATAATTTGAATAATCAATTTCATTCAATCTTACACAACACAAAAGGTGCTCTGGCAACTCTTCAGCCTTATTGCCCTGAATTGTTAATCCGAAATCCAGAACACACAGCTTAAGTCTGTCCAGGAATGTTTCGAACCCTTTCCTCGAAATGTAGCTGAATCTGTGCATGTCCAAGTCGATCTCGAAATAATTCTCGCCAGAGTAAAATTCGTGCTGAGGGCGCGAAAGGACGGGCTTTTCATTGTAGGCGTGCATGAGTTTTCGTTCGGCCCTACTCATTGGAAGGTCTTCCACATTCGCCACACGGCCCAATATTTTCAATCTTTCTCGGAAGGGAATAATTGTTTCCGAACGAAAACCTTTGACTTTTTCTACTTCATCGTCGATTAACCTCCGAATATTATCCTGAAAATGGGGTGGAAGGTCTTTGGCAAAGCTTTCAGAAAGTTTAAAATACAAAACAAAGCTGATTCCTTCACCATCTGTTTCACCTTGAAAAATTGCGGTAGGATATAAAGGTATCTGAACATTCACGACAAGGATAGGTGGAAGCTTCCCAGAAGGTTTTACAAAGGGAAGTTCTATAAATCGAGCAATGTGATTTAACTTTCTCTGAGATAAAAACACGTCGAGACCGAATGGATAATACGCAGCACAATTCGGAGCAAGCTCTTTTTTCTTATCCCTGAAATAACTAACTCCTCTGACTCGGAAAGTCCCTGGCTCGATTGCTGACCAACTGTCGGGCACTCTTTTACCTAAGGGACAAAAGGGCACTTGCGACCCTGCTATTGGCCTTTGTAGCAACTTCTTCGAAGAAAATAAGGCGGACGTGGGGTGCCCCTCCTTCCATTTAAACGGTATTTTCGAGGCGGCTTTTTTCCTCAAATTTGTCGGGCTCGAGCTAAAAGACCGTCTCTTTTCGACCGCACCACCATTATTAACAGCCGAAGCCAGGCAAGGCAAACAATTGCTCGGGATAATTCCACAGTTTTCCAATAAGCTATCATCATCATGTGTTGATGTTTCTCCGTGTGGGCCCGAGCCCGAGATCTCATCAGCGTAAACGGGCTTTGGCCCGATAAGCGAGTTGTTATGAGGAAAAGTGACTTTTACGTGAGTGGAATTGCATGCAGATGTTAGGTCACTCGAAGGTTCAGAGTGCTCTTCGGAGGCGGAGCCGCTTAGAGAGAGAACATCATCGGGAATGCTTTGGTAATCTTCGTCACTGCAATCTGAATCAAGGATAGCAGCAGAATCGAACCATGCCTCCTCGACACTACCATGAAAAGTAGGGTTGTTGAAGGCACGATCCTCGGGCAAAGGTGTAAGCTTTTCCATTCTACTGTCCGAAGACATATCAGACAAATGGGAATGAGCCCTTTTCCTCAAAACCTTTCTCCTCCTTCTGTTCTTCTTCTTCCTCAGCCCGCCGGATTTCCCCCCCACGCAGTTCTCCGGACGGGAAACGCACGCCCCCATATCAAACCACACACACAGAGAGAGGTAAAATGGGAAAAACAAGAGGAACCTTTCTTCCTAGGTTAGTTGTGTTTTGTTGCTAGGTTAGTTGTTTGTTGTTGCTAGGTTAGTTATTTGTAGTTGCTAGGTTAGTTGAGTTTTGTTGCTAGATTAGTTGTCTTAAGTTGCTAGGTTATTTTTTTCTTGATGTTAGGTTAGTTGTCTTTTTGTTGCTAGGTTAGTTCTTTCTTGCTGCTAGGTTAGTTGTCTTTTGTTGCTAGGTTATTTCTTTCTTGCTGCTAGGTTAGTTGTCTTTTGTTGCTAGGTTATTTCTTTCTTGCTGATAGGTTAGCTGTCTTTTGTTGCTAGGTTATTTCTTTCTCGCTGCTAGGTTAGTTGCTAGGTTAGTTGTCTTTTGCTGCTATGTTATTTCTTTCTTTCTCGCTGCTAGGTTAGTTGTCTTTTGCTGCTATGTTATTTCTTTCTCGCTGCTAGGTTAGTTGTCTTTTGATGCTATGTTAGTTTTGTTTTGTTGCTAGGTTAGTTGTCTTTTGTTGTTAGGTTAGTTGTGTTTTGTTGCTAGGTTAGTTGTCTGATGCTGCTAAGTTAGTTGTGTTTTGTTGCTAGTTTAGTTGTTATTTCTTGCTGCTAAGTTAGTTGTGTTAGTTGTGTTTTGTTGCTAGTTTAGTTGTTATAGGTTAGTTGTCTGATGCTGCTAAGTTAGTTGTGTTTTGTTGCTAGTTTAGTTGTTTTTTCTTGCTGCTAGGTTAGTTGTGTTTTATTGCTAGGTTAGTTGTCTGATGCTGCGGTTAGTTGAGCGAGTTGTTATTTCTTGCTGCTAGATTAGTTGTCTGATGCTGCTAAGTTAGTTGTATTTTATTTCTTGCTGCTAGGTTAGTTGTGTTTTGTTGCTAGGTTAGTTGTCTGATGCTGCTATTGCTGCTAGGTTAGTTGTGTTTAGTTGTCTGATGCTGCTAAGTTAGTTGTATTTTTTTTTTATAAAAAAATTGTAACCCATAAGATTTGAACTTGGTACCTCATGGAAGCAAAACAAGCAATGCAACCACTACACCACTCAAGGTTGAGTGTCTTTTGTGTGCTAGGTTATTTATTTCAATGCAACGGGTCAACGCCGGAAGTCAATGATTTTCGCTGGAAGTCAACGGTCAACGCTAGAGTCAACTAATAATTATTTATTATTTAATTAATGTATATTTTAATTAATTTTGATCTAGACAAAATGAGTGGCTAAGATTGAGTTTCACGTACTCATTTTACGGAGTGGTCTCATTGGATCCATCCCTATAATGGAATACTTGTTTTAATATAATATAGATGGAACTTTCTTCGATTTAATATAATGTCATTTTTTTTTCAACTTCCTGATTCCTGTGCGCCTGGGCGGACAAATTTCACAACGGGTTTCAATCAATTTTAATTTAATTAATATGAAAAATATTAGATTATAGCGAAATTGTATATATTTTACTATATTGAATATTTAACTACTTATCAAGTATCATGCCATATATGTATTTTATGACTAAACATATAAATAATTATCAATTCAAATAATAAAATACCGTAGTGTGAAAATATTGGATTAGCATCCCGGTTAACCATCGCCACTGCCAAAACGTCACTATCACGAGAGCGCCGCCACATCTCGTTGATGCGAATGTGGGTTTCGCGGTCGCAAACAACATGACAGGGCCCGACGTACACGCAAGAGAGAGACCCGGGTCGCTGCCAAGACCCGCAACAGTGTGAGACGACAAGGGGCAACAGCGCTGGGACGGGACGACTCACGCGAGCTAGCGCGAGACACCGAGTAGACGCGAGACGAAGTGCAGAAGGATTGGCACTTGCGACCTGGACGAGATTATTAGTGTGCGGGAAAATACATGCCGTAGGCATAACGCGCCGGGCGTAGGACGCACGCGTGCGCGACCCAAGCTGCGAAACAGAGTTCGCCAGCGAGTGTCAAAGTTGGCGGAAGCGTGAGGACACGTGAGCGTAAAGCGGACACGCGCGGGCGAGACCAACGCACAGGAGCTGGAGGGATGGACGAGGATTTTTGCTCACCAAGTCACCGAGAACCATGTAGAAGACGGAAGAAGCTTCTCCAAGGGTCCTTTCCGATTTTTAAGTATTTATTTAGATATTTCTTGATTTTCCTAGATTGTTTAAGAGTTTATTTATGATTGGGATTTCTTAGATAAGATAGCATAAGATAATTAGTTTCCTTAAGTTAGAATTATTCTTCGCTTAGGATCTGTTCTTCTCACGAGTTTAGTATTAGTTTTAGACCTTTAAATGCATGTTCCTAGTTCTTGTTTTTCAATATTGGTCCAAGTTCAAAGAAATAAGAAAATCGATTGATTCGATCACAAATCTCGTGAGTTTTGCATACAAACCGTGATAGAAATAGGACCAATATCCGAGTTTCATCACAACATTGTGAAGTACGAAAGGGTCGGCACGCGTATTAGCAATCTATCAAGGCATCGACGCGGGTTTCGAAGCAAAACGAGTTAAGAAAATACGCGATCTTCATCATTGGTGCTTTCATTGAGAGGTGTTGATCGTGTATTTTATTTGGCTCTCTAGTTTTTAGTCCGAGAAAAAGAATTGGTTGATTTTTTTTTTTGTGTGTGAGCACTTACAAAAAAATATTCATAGTATTAGTTTAGGTTCAGTTCATATAGGTGACACGAGGTTCGGATCATCCGAGTATTATGATTTTGACGAAGCCTTGACACGAATTAGGCAAACAAGCAGCCTAAGGGACTACCAATAGGAGTTCGAATGCCTAGCAAGTCATGTACGCGGTTGGCTGGAGCAAGCACTCATAGGCGTGTTCGTTGGGGGCCTTAAGCCAGATCATGCCGTAAAGGTTAGACTCTAGAAGTCAAGGAACTTGAGGGAGGTCATGGAGTCTGCACGCATGCCCGACGACCACCTGGTCGTGGTGCACAAGGTTGGCCGCTCATACGCGCACAATAGCGAGCCGCACGCGAAATTGTCGCGCTCGGAGTCGCGAAATTATGTGGACAGCCTGCCCAAGGCCAGAAATTCACTTACAGTGATCAAGGAACAACTGTCTGAAGAGGAAAGGCAGCACCAGATAAGCAAGGGGCAATGCTTCCGTTGTAATGAAAAATTTGCGTCAAGACATCGGTGCAAGCAACAGTTGTACGCCATCGAAGGCGACAAGGAAGAACACGAGGAGGATAAATCGAGGCACTGTGTCAATGATGACTTAGAGATTCCAGCCAATGCAATATCAGGGATGCATGGGTGAGAACCATTAAGTTTCGCGCTACGGTTCAAATACAATCTATCAAGGTGTTAGTTGATACCGGGTCATCCCACAATTTTATTAGTGCCATATTATCTGAAGAGTTGAAGTTGACGGCGAGATTATTCACAGGCGCAAAAATGTAGGGTGCTGGCCGCCGCAGGCAAAGCGCGTTGGGCGCAACATGCGCACGTGCGGACCTGCGCTATGAAACAGAGTTCGCCCGTGAATGTTGAAGTTGGCGGGCACGCGAGGACACGCGACCAAGTAGTGGGCACGCGCGCACAGACGCGAGGCAGCGCATAGTAGAACGGGGCAATGCGGGCACTCGTGACCTGTGCGAGATTATTCATGGGCGCAAAAATGCAGGATGTCGGGCGACGCAGGCAAAGCACATCGTGCGCAAGACGCATGCGTGCGCGACCCGTGCTACGAAGTAGAGTTCGCCAGCAAGTGCCGAAGTTGGCATACACGCGAGGACACACGACCGAGCAACGGACAAGCGCGGGCGCGAGTGGCAATATCGTGCGACTAGTGCGTAGGGGCGTCCTCGCACGCACGGGGCTGGAGGGCTGGACGAGGAATTTTGTGAACCAAGTCATTGAGAACCATCAAGAAGAAGCAAGAAGCTTCTATAAGGGTCCTGGCCGATTTTTAGGACTTATTTAGATTTTTTTTTTTTTTTTCCTGATTGTTTAGGAGTTTATTTTATGATTGAGATTTTTTCGATAAGGTAGCATAAGATAATTAGTTTCCTTAAGTTAGAATTATATTTCTCTTAGGATTAGTTCTTCTCATGATTTTAGGATTAGTTTTAGGTCTTTGATTACTTGTTCCTAGGCCTTTAAAATCTTATTATATTTTTTACTTATTAAATTTATTATTTACATTATATGTGGTTAATTGTTTATGAAAAATTGTAGACGCTCAAAGCAAAAATGTTGTTCAAAGAAGATTCCAAATTCAAATTCGAATGAAAATATGACCACAATTGAGCTATTATTAAAAACTTTGAAAAATTTAAAGATGGAGCTACGAGGAGTAAGAAAAAACAATCAGGTCATTATCTATTTCAGAGTTAGAAAATCCAACTTCCGAGTGTCCCTGATAAGAATCCCCAGGTATTTTTCATTTTCTCTAAATTTTAGCGAATCGGATCAATTTGCTAGTGGTTCTCCATCTGAAATACCTGTCGGGGTGAAGAAAGCCAAACTAGAAAGAAAGGTATGATGATTCATCAATGCTCATCAATGCTATGAAGGAAGAGAATAAAAGACTTGTTGGGGAGATGAAAAATACAACGACCAAATAAAACATCAATTGAAATCCAACTTCCGAGTCTCCCTGACAAGAATCCCCAGGTATTTTTCATTTTTCTCTAAATTTTAGCGAATTAGATCAATTTGCTAGTGGTTCTCCATCGAAAATACCTGTCGGGTGAAGAAAGCCAAACTAGAAAGAAAGGTAAATGATGATTCATCATTGCTCATCAATGCTATGAAGGAAGAGAATAAAAGACTTGTTGAGGAGATGAAAAATACAACGACCAAATAAAACATCAATTGAAAATGCGCAACAGATGCCACGCTTTAAAATAAATGAGGGAAGAAAATAAAATTTTGTTTCAGGATGTCATATCTATAGAAGATCCTAGAGTTCGAGAATACATTGGAGCTGAAAAAGCATGAATCTTGAAGTAAAGAGCTCAACAAGCCCAATCAGATCCATTTTCAACCAATGTATTTGGCTAATTTTTCAATGATCCATTTCCTCGTGCTTGTTTTAAGTTTTTTGGTTTATGATTTTATTTTTAGTATTATGTGATGTTGTATTTCATTTCAACACTAGTTATTTAAATATTTTTTTTTAAACCCTGATCTATCATGTATTAATGTTATTTCAATCTATATTAGTAATGTTGTTGTTATTAATGTTAGTATTTTCTTTTCTTGTTAAATAAAAATACCATAAATAATATGCATATTTTCCATTATTATTGTGAAGTATATAAAATTAAATGATAAATACAATATTTATTATTTTAATATTATATTATCTAAGTTTAAAGAAAGTAAATTTTTTAATAGTTTACATTATTATTGTGAAAAAATATAAAATTAATATTCATTGTTTTGGATATTCTATAAAAAAAATATAAAGTTCATATATATAAAAAACTACACATGCGACACAGTTTTTGCGTCCAGACGCAAATTTGTGTCCAAGAAGACGAGAGACGAGAGACGAGAGAAGCACAAATTGCAGGCGTTTGGAGTTCGATTGGAGTGATTTTGTCAAAAAATGGGTTGTGGCGTTCGTTGGAGAAGGTCTTAAGACCCATTTATTTACATATATCACACACATTCATCTCTTATACATGGTAATATGTGTCCACCCCTGATTTTATTTTATTTTCATTTTTTTTATATATTTAATCAGATATTAAAATAATATAAATACTGGCCTAACACTGTTGGAAGGTGATTGATTAGTCCGATGATAAAAGTGAGAATAGTTTAAGATAAATGTGTAAGGTAATAACTTGCAAATAATTTAGGGGAAAAAAAAGGCCAACCAATTTATTGATGAGTTTTCTTTTAATAATTTTTAAATTGACGTTGACATATTTAATATATACTGTAAAAATATGAATATTTAAAAATGACCAAAAATATATTTTTTGCATTTTTTTAAAACTAAAATAAAGAATTATTGCATTATATTTTAATTTTATTAATTACTTTTGTTTATCTAGTTTTTTGTGTCCAATGTAAATAGTTAATTATTTTTTGAAATCTTAACTTTCACACTGGTTATATGAAATTTAGTCAATTATACTTGTGCAATATCATGTTCACGGGCCTATTATGATTACTTCTTGTCAATTCGTATTTTTGTCGATTAAACAGTTATAATTTCATCAACTTCTGTAAATTTTCGGGATAAAGAAAATTTTAACTGATTAGTTCCAGGTAAGTTGGCAAATGGCGCGGTGAAGGAAGGTATAAATGGTTGCCACCAAACAAGCAAGGACTAACGAAACGACATGTAGTGAAGCGTGGCAGGAATTAATTAAAGCAGCAAAGAAGGAAAAATATAGTGCGAATTCAAAACACGGTCCATTCCAACAGAGAGAATGTCGTCAACATAATACTAAACCAGTCCATACTTTAAACTAGGAAGAGAAAAATCATAACACCACAACAGCCCATTTTAATCATATCACAGGATATATCACCAGGGCTGGACGAAGGCATCAGCCAACATCTGGCCGAGCTTCACCTGCGCAGCCGTCGTCAGGTGTGTGTTGTCCGCTTCCAGCTTCAGTCCCATAGCGTCCACACACTTGACCCCATCCATCCCCAGCCCCAGCTGCACCGACCTAACCGTCTCAAGGTCCGCAGGAGCAGTCTGGTTGAAATTCCCCGAGGCCAACGCCACCTGGATGATCGGGAGTTGCGGCATCGCGAGGTCGGCCCGAATAGAGTTAAAGAACTCCCTGAGACTGGGCCCGTACGCGGCAGCCAGCTGAGGGGAAATCGTGTCCGATTCCCCCTGATACCACAGCATCCCGGCTATGGGCCCCAACAACCGGCTGGCGGCTTCTGCGCGTGCCAGCAGGTTGATGTAGGCAGTGTTGTTCCCGCGCTGCCACTGGACGATGCTCGTGCCGCCTTGGGCGGCAGGGACGAGGGCCACAGTGACAGTGCCCGTGTTTAGAGGGTCGACGTGTCGGAGGAGGGCGGTGGCGAAGGGCATCCCGGGGCCGATGCCGAGCTTTGAGTCTTGGGCGGTGAAGTCGAGGCCGCGGTGGAGAGGCTCGGAAGCCCTCTCCCAAGTCAGCACAGGGCTCAGTCTGATGACTGAGTCCGGTATGGGGGGCTCCGACTCGGGTGGGACGAAGCCGTCCCAAACGCCGGCGCCGCTGACGCCGCCTCGACCGGCCATGTTGCTTTGGCCGGCCAGCAAAACGGTGAAGGTGGTGCCACCGCCAGTCGAAAAGCTGCTGCTGCTCATGAAGAAAATGATGAAGATTGTCATTGGATGCATTTTTTCTTTTCTTTTCTTCTCTCTTCTAATGTTTTAAGGTTGTGGTATGGTTCAGTTGGAAGTGTTTTTGTGGTATGAAGTGGATGAGTTCACTTGGTTTATATAATGGAATAAACCTAGTAGTACCTTGTGTAGGGTGGGGACCAATATGTACTACAAATGGTACAAGGTTTTACCGTTTGCTAGCTAGCTGCCTTGTCATAAATCCATCAACCCACTACTTACATAGGCCACATGCCATATATGTTCTTCTAAAATCCAATTTTTTAACTAATTAGCTGGGTCAGGGTAGATTGCAAAGCGAGCAAGTTGAATTACTGAATGCCATCTGTGAATTTAAGCATGTCCTATAATTTCATTCCATGCATGTAATATATGCTATATATTGTCACGCTTTTTATATGCAGAACTAGATAACGTCTCAACGTACCTGCTATTGGATCGATCAACAACAACACATATTCCTATCCTATAAAAATATATATGTGTTGACCTAACCATAAAATTAAAGGGAGATTCTACAGTCCCATTATGAAACTATTCCGTCGGGATCAGGACCGGCCCTGGCCCAGGGCGACCTGGACGATGGCCCAGGGCCCAACTTGAAAAGGGGGCCCAATAATAAAAAAATGTCTTGTTAACTATTAAAGTTTTGTTTTTTTTATTTTTCTGTATTAGAAATTAGATGTGCCTCCAACCAAACTTAGAAAGGGGGCCCAACTTGGAAAATGGGTCCAACTCTAAAAAAACGCCTAATTGAAATTAGTTGTGCCCCAACTAAACTTAGAAAATGGCCCCAATTAAATACCCAAACATTTTGTTATTAATTTTCTCCAAATAAAGGAAGAGGCCAACTTAAATATTTAACATTTTGTAATTATTTTTTTCTCCACTGATTTATGCATATGAAATACCATTTTTGTTCTCACTCCCTCTATGACTACTAAAAACTTAAGTAATTTTCGAATTTGTTAACACTACGATATGTTTAATACTTTTAAAAACATATGAAATTTTTAAAAATTAAGTAGTTAAGAAATTCATTTAATGTTGTAATAGTTTTGGAAAATATATATTTAATTTAAATTGAGAAACATGTAGATTATTTCTTATATTTTTTATTTTTGCCCTTTTTTTATTTTTACCCTTTTTTATGTTCAATACACGATAACTTATAAATAAATTGATTACAATTAACCAACGTAATTTTAAATTAATTTTCAAAACCAACTATCTAAATTCATTATCGGTATGATTAACTATGCCTCTAATTTAAGGGGAAAAAAACACAAGACCTCAAATCAATGATCGCACTTAGAAAATAATTCTTTTGTTGCATTGGTGCCTCTTTCCCCTTGATCCCTCATTTTATTATTATTAGTATTATTATTATTATTATTATTATTATTATTATTATTATTATTCACTTGATGGTCATTCAAAATATCTAAAATTTTTATTGAAAATGCAGTAGCTCATGACATTATTTTTTAAATATTGAGAGAGTTCGGGGCATTATTTTTGTTTTTGTCCAGGGCCTCATAATATTCAGGACCGGCTCTGGTCGGGATACATGATAAATACAATGATGTGTCGGACCGAGGATCTACCTAATTAAACTAGTGACAAAACACCTCTGTCTGCCCGATTCTAGCTGATAACCTGCAAAACGGGCCGGGAGGTGCTCCTGGCATAAGCACTTCGACACTAAAGTTAGTGATTGGAAAGGAGAAGAAGATGGTAATATAATATTTGAAATATTCAGAGATTACAGAATATTTCAGTTGTACCTTATCTTTTTATATAGGGTCATTAATGTCTTGGTGTCCAATACTTCTATTGCCCAAGGATTGTCGGACAGCCCGTGGTTCATGATTTGTGTTCATCCTTATCTTAATTATATTCTATCATTATCTTGATTGTGTTCATCCTTACCTTGTTGCATTCACACTTGCTCGTGTATCCCATTACGATCCATTCATATTTAGGTTGACATATTGAATGCTAATAGATTTCTCAAGTACTTCAACTGGTTCACATATCCATTCTTATTTAGGTTGAAGTATTCAATGCTAATAGATTTCTCAAGTACTTTAGTTCGGGTACACTCTTGCATTTGTCCCATGTTGAATAGGTTGGCTGCACCCTGGCAGAGTTGAATGAGGGTGATTGTTTATACATTCAACTAAAAAAAAACAATCAAAACTCAAATTTTAACTCAACTCCACTATCTTCAATATTATCAATATAGTTAAATAATATTACCTAATCATTCTTACACATCACGTCAACTTTAATTTACTGTTCATCCACACACATAATTTTGACTAACCATCACTTCCAATCATTTTATCTCATAGTTTACATCATATCAATATTAATTATTTTATTTAAATATTATTTTAATATATCCACTAACAACTAAACATACCACATTTTTTCAAAAATTAACTATAGTTAAAAAACAAACCAAATAAAAACTAGTTGTCACCCTGTTTTCTTAGCTTACCTGATCCAGGTTAATCCTAAATATTTAGGTCGTAATCTTGGTGTTAGTGTGTATACTTAACGCTTGACTTTAGATGATATTGACACTATTTATTTATGTAAAATGAGAATTCATGTTTGATTAAATAAAATTATATGTTCTATTGCTTTGCATTTAGATAAATGGTTCATCACGGATGTACAAAAGATCATTTATTGGTTACTTGCGAAACATAAACAATTGATTCACAATCTAGATGAAATTGAACAAACCATCGAAACAGTTGTAGTGTGAACGGTACAGTCTATCTTGACTGATTAGTCACACTAGTACACATTGGTGTATTGTTTTGTATGTTTTGTTGTTATTGTATATTTTATGTGCTTTATTTATGTTTGTTTTAGTTTATTTTAGGTTTTTCCTATCCATTCAGTCGCCAGACATTATTTACTAAAATACCGAGTCTGTCGACATACCAGACCCTTGGTAAAACAAATAAATAAGTACAGAATGCACATGTCCATCTTTATTGTCTTACAGGTTAAGAGAACACAACAATTACGGATGTCTAGATTATTTACTTGGTGTGTATAAAATAATCTATCCTTAAGAGGTGCGTCCAATACATCTGAGATGTACTAGTGTAATTCATTAGTCAAAGACCAACTAATTCAAAATCACACTATAACTTTTCGTGCAGTTAGTTCAATTTGTTTAGGCTGTGAACAAATATTTATATTTTACAAAGCACCGATAATATGATCTTTCTATACGACACATGGAACACTGTTATCTACAATGTAAAATAAAAGAACTATGTCCCATAAATAAACTACGAATATACAATTGACTAATTTCACACATCTCATTAAAAATGGAAGTAGGAGTAACTCAAAGACGAACTTCTACAGTGTACTCCAATATTACAATCGTCGTACACTCGTGATTGAAAATGAGAGTAGGTTGTCAATATGACTGATAAGTAGGGTAGAGTTCATGGCTCGATAATGAACTCTGTTTATTGTAACCATAGCAGCATGTTTTTAGTTTATAGTTACGGCAGCATTGGTAAAATGTATGTTTAGAGGGCATTTTCTTCTACATTGATGTCCAAGGGCAAAATTGGGATGAATGTTGCATCAAGGGACATCGTGTCAATTTCGCTGCCCGACGGATGCAATGCACATTGTTGATTCAAAGTTCCACTAAACCCAACAAATGGTCTACATGTGACATTTGCCAATGAAGTCCTTGGCTGAATTGATTATACGATATTGGTTGATCATTTGGGATGAAAGCCCCAATGATGAATAATTATTGCTTCTAGACGGTTGACAATACCTTACAAGCCTTAATAAAAGTAAAGAATTCATTGAAAAAAATCTCCTATTTGGTGGCAAGTCTGTTGTATTTGGTGAGGATTTTAGATAGAACCTCCAGTTGTCCCTAAAGGCAATTTAAGTGACATAGTGAATGTGACAGTCAATTCATCGGCGGGATTGTGCTATTCTGAGACTGACCCAAAATATGAAGTTGTGAATCCTTGGTGTGGGTGATGAGTACGATGAGTTGAGGCTCTTTTCGAAGTGGCTTGTAAGCATTGGCGTCATTATAGTCAGTGGATTAAATGATGGTTGTGCTAATATAGAAGTTCCGGATGATATTATTTTGAAATCACAAGGGGCTTCTATTGATACTATCTTGAGAATACCTACCCAATGTTTAGGAGTTCAGGTGACTACCTTAGCTATTAGAAAGATAGAGAGATACTCACTCCCACAATTGATGTTGTTGAGTCCGTTAACGAGTACATGAGCACATTGAACTCCTCCGAGGAATGACTTATTTGAGTTCGGACACTGCTTGAAAGTCAGATGCTCGATATAATTCTCTCTTCATGATCGTCATATTCCTGCATTTGTGAATGGATGAAGTGCTTTGAACTTTTGCATCATAAATTGCACTTGAAGGTCGAAACTACAGTGATGATGCTAAGGAAATTCCATGGGGTCGTACAGCGATACGCGTTTGGTTATTACTAAGCTTAGTAGCAATGTGCTCAAATGCAGAATCTTAATAGGTGCTAGAGCTGGTAGTAAGATTCTAATTCATAGGCTCACAATAATACTTTTTTATTTGAAGGTACTGTTCAAGTTTCACCACAAACAATTTCATGTCATGGTTTCTTATGCTATGACAATCAATAAAAGTCAATGTCAATCTATGTCACACGGCGTCTTGGTACTGAAGAACTCTATTTTCAGTCATGAGCAGTTGTACATCGCACTTTCCAGAGTCACGAATCGGAAGGATTTGAAATATAATAATTTGTGGTGATGTGGATTCCGGTGATAACAAAACCATGAATGTTGTATATAAGAATATTTAGAATTCTTTTCCTAATTCATAATTTTTCATGGATTAAATTATGAGTATTACTATTGTTTATATTTTTGTATTACTTTTCTACGAATTCGGTGCAAACGTAAAAGTTGATTACACGTAAAAGTTGATTACTAGTAAAATTATATTGTGTAAAAATATAAATCAACTTTAATTAATGTTATAAGGTAATTATACCTTTATCAATTTTCCATCTATTAAATTATGAGCTTATTAAATATTATGAACTCATGTAACTTAATTTTTTAATATTTATCAAATGTTAAAATAAAAAGAAAAGAAAACAATAAACAATAGTTGTTGCCTCCTCCAACTCTAAAACTTATATCCCAATAAACTGGAGCCTCTGTTTTCGACCTACTTTTCGTCACAGAAAGATTGAATAAGTTCAGGATTCTTTCCCTCTTACAAGGATATACACATCAATATTAATTAAATCTAATGGTTTCATAATTGATGGACATATTTGTACCTTAATGCAAACATCACATAGAAGCCATGGCTTATGGCTATCCTCGGTCC